TTGCTTGTTTGAAAGGACGAACATCTATTTTTGAGAGCATAGGCACATAAAGTGGCGAAAAAAAGTTTAAGGCACTTTTTGTTTTTCGTTTTTTTTCCATTAGAGATCCATTTTAATGGGCATCCAAATAGTGATTTCGATAGCTCTCGGAACGAACTACAAATGTATTATATTGAGAACATCAACGGTGAACCGGTTAAGTTTTTATATCAGAAACTCTTTTTTTCCAGCGGAAAAAAATTTAAGGCACTTTTTGTATTTTATCGATTTTGTCGTTGTGGAAGAACAGAAAACGTTTGAAAACTATACCATTAGATTCAGAATTGAACGGACTATATTTTGATATAAAATGTTTTGAAAAACTATTGACTGTAACAATTAAATATTAATTATTATTAATTAGCAGTTATAGATAAATTTTTTCATAATTTTCGGCTTTGAAGCACACTATAAGAAAGAGCATCAAAAACTAAACAAACCTGTGTTTTTTCCAAAGGACAATTGGTCTTTATGGGAATATTTAATCATTCTTTTAAAAATTAATTAATACTGCATTAATAATTAAGAAAATTAAGCTTTTAGAGAAACTTGTAAAAATCTGAAAAACACTGTATTTTGTAAAGCACACTTTGTTCTATAAAACAAGACCTAGCGCGCCTTTTTTCCGATGCAGGCTTTAAGTGGCACAATGTTTTGAATATCTATTACTAATTTCAGCGATGGTTTCTAGCTATTTTCCTCCTTGTTTTCCCTAAACTATGTTCAACGGGCTGTATCACACGAATAGCATATACTACAAAACCCGCTAGGTCTTGTTTAATAGAACAAAGTGTGCTCTACAAAATACAGTGTTTTTCAGATTTTTACAAGTTTCTCTAAAAGCTTAATTTTCTTAATTATTAATGCAGTATTTATTAATTTTTAAAAGAATGATTAAATATTCCCATAAAGACCAATTGTCCTTTGGAAAAAACACAGGTTTGTTTAGTTTTTGATGCTCTTTCTTATAGTGTGCTTCAAAGCCGAAAATTATGAAAAAATTTATCTATAACTGCTAATTAATAATAATTAATATTTAATTGTTACAGTCAATAGTTTTTCAAAACATTTTATATCAAAATATAGTCCGTTCAATTCTGAATCTAATGGTATAGTTTTCAAACGTTTTCTGTTCTTCCACAACGACAAAATCGATAAAATACAAAAAGTGCCTTAAATTTTTTTCCGCTGGAAAAAAAGAGTTTCTGATATAAAAACTTAACCGGTTCACCGTTGATGTTCTCAATATAATACATTTGTAGTTCGTTCCGAGAGCTATCGAAATCACTATTTGGATGCCCATTAAAATGGATCTCTAATGGAAAAAAACGAAAAACAAAAAGTGCCTTAAACTTTTTTTCGCCACTTTAGTACAGGGTAGAACAAGCACCAATACCGGGAGAGATAATTCGATCTTTGAAGGGACACTACTCCATCAGCTCTCACATTGAATAAATCACTGAGGGAGATGCATGTTGAGTTCATGGAAACTTGATATCTGTTATTGGAGAGTCTTCAAGAATTCTGAATCTATGATAACTTTTGCTCTAATCATCGAGATCTATCTAATCTAGAAGTTTTCAGAATTTGTTATTAACTGATCTTTAGAATCTCTGGAAAAAAAATTTCTTTATATTTTTACCAGCTTTTTGATATGCTGTAAGAAGAATAATTAATGATTGTAATTGTTTTGGTGTTAATAAACAATTAACTGAACCACAATGTGCTTCAATTTCAACCTAATTTAAATAAAGTTAACAAAATATTAAATTAAATTAATTTTACTTTTGGTCCAAATATTTGTTCTGATTGTTTCAATTTAAGACGAATATCTTGTTTACCCGATATAGTTAAACATAAAATTGGATCATAAGTTTCATATCCAACCATTCGAGTATTTCCACCGGTTGTTGTTGTCATCATTACTGATGAACTATTTGTTAATACACTTGTCATCATACTTTCCTAAATAAATGAAAAAATTCTTTTGATAAATCAAATCAATTATTAGACTTTTTTTTTATTTTCTTACTGCTATTAAACGATTCGATAAATTTAATTCTGATGAATCAGTCATACTTGAAGAATTTTTAAATATTGAAAATTCATCTGTATAAAGTGTAACACCACTTAAAACAAAATTTTTATTTGTAAATACAGTTGGACGTATTAAAGAATTAGAATCAGGTTGTACGGTCATATCAATACTTGTTGCTTCACTGTCAAAATATTCGAATCTAATAAAAAAGAAAAACAAATATATATATATATATATATTCATAATTGAAGAAAATCTATTGATTTACTTTTTTATACGAATTTCAAATGCAACACCATGATCACCATTATTAATAAGGTGTTCTAATCGAATAACAGTATCTGTAAGTGTTACTCGAACACGAGCAAGAACTAAAATAGAAAAATAAGATTTTCATTCAATGTATAAACATAATCTTTATGATCTAAATAAAAAATTACTAATTACTAAAATCTTTAATTTTTTTGTCAAACACGATCTGTTACATTTTAAAACGAATATATTTCCATACTTTGTTACAAAATTAAACTTAATAAAAAAAAAACTTCAATTAATTTCATGTATCATTTCTTGTATCTGAATTCTATTTAAAATATGGAAAGATAGAATTCTCAAAGTTGTAAATTTTTATCGAAAGATATCTGATTATAACATTCTCTAACTTTATTTAATAAGGCAATGATATTCAGTATACCTAATGAAAATAAAACCAAGTTCTAATCATATCAATGCAGTCTAATTTTTCCATCTTGTTAATTTGATTATTAGTAGTCGACCATCGTTACTTGTCTCGTACAAACCTTTCGTATCTATCTAGAATAATCCCCGACGTGATTCAACTCTTTTATCACGGTCGCAACTCATAACTATGATTCACAAAATTTCTTTGTTTCTTTGCCACAACACCTTTTCTTTTTTACCTATGTATGCTGCTGATCAAAGTCCAGTATATTAATTCTATGGATAAAATCAATGGCAATGGGTTGAAATGAAAAAACAAAGTTTGGCTAATCTTAATGCTTATCGTATAAATGATTTATTGCCTGTAAAACAGCTACCGGTAGCGAATGCATATAAAAGTCAATTGCACTACGGAATATTTAAGCAATTTATATAAACTATGAATATATGGATATTTGAAGGCTCGTCACCAATGATGCTTTATATAGAGTTGTACTTTCGTCAGACTGAACATCTATTGTTTGAGAGCACAGGCACATTGCATAAAGTACAATAAGAAAACTCTACGAGAACTGTCGCTCTTTCAATTCTCGTGTTGGATTAAAATCTAATTATGATCACACTAAGATTTAATCAAACATAGAAATAGAGTCCAGCCTTGTAGACATGTTTAACTTTAAAAAATTCAAACCGGTTTGAATTCTTCAAACATAAAAATTATAGATCTCGATGTGGAAAGAGTTCGTCCTCTCACTATTTTTTACATCGCGTCTGGGCAATTTTAAAAAAACTGTCTGCCAAGTTTAAGAACACTGCCTTTCTTCATCATTCTCTGCTCAATAGACTCTAATAAAAATAATTCTTATTCTTGTTAAATCTATATTTCGAATCATTGATATAAAATTTCTATTTCAAAAACATTTTCTCACTTGAATCAATTGTTGCTGCAAATGTTTCTAATCCTTGATATGTTGTATCTTCTTCAGTTTCATTTTTTAAACATTCTTGTGCAATAAGCATACTTGTATTCATACTATTAAACATTGATGATAATTCGAAACCAGCATCAGCTAGTTCTTTACATAAAAAAAATAAATATATAAATGTTTTTATTTTATTTCTTTTTTTTAAATATAATATTTTTACTTTGATCATTTGTCTGTTTTGGTCTAATAGTTATTTCTAAATCTTTAATATCTAATAAAGAATTATCACGTAATAATGATGTCCATGGTATTGATAAATTTATTTCTCCAACATATGCTTTGACTATTTCAAGTGGAATATTATTATTTGTTAATGATTCATTTAATGCCTAAAATAAATATAGAAAAATGAATTTTATTAATAAATCTTAATTGTTTTATTTTATTTTACATTTAAATTTAATATAACATCTTTAACTTGACTGCGACCAGAGAAAAGATCAACTGATAATTGATCAAGTGAAAGTTTTTCTTGAAAAAATACACCTAGATAATGATGTATTAATTGACGGCAAGCACGTGTTTTTAAGGAATTCGACCAAGGAATAAACGATTGCCACGGCATTGAAATATAATATATATAGGAATCTAAAAATTGCAGTTAGAGAAATAAAAATCTACATCAACAGTATATCAAAGTGTATATATCTATAAATTGTCATATCATTTGAAATGATGTTTTTGCATATTGCGTCATGCGATAGCTATTATCTTATCAATGGGAAGTTTTGAAATTATTTTATAGTTAAATTATTTCAAAGAAAAAATATTTACGGATGTATTATTATTAATTTATCTGTTTATTTCATCAATAATAAGCGACAAAATGTATCTGCATAAAAGTGATTGACCAGCTGACGTAAACATATGATAGTAAGCTCGTGCCAATCAAATATTGATTGGTTATGTTCTAACCAATCATATTTTATATGATAACCTTCTTTGGGTAAACAAAGCTAAAAGAAAATATTTCAAATTATATAAATTCTTATAGATTTTAAAATTAAAGTTAAAATTAAAGATAAATCCTTTTAGAAATTATTTCATTGCATAAAATGAATTCTCCAATGAGAAATCTTGACTCTTTCTTCTCTTCGTTTTGTATATAAATGACACATCGATTCAGGGATTTTCTTCTTCGCTTCGTACTTGTTCATTATTCGTTCTTTCGTCCGCCGCCTGATTCGTAGGTAAATGACGATGTATTAAAAAAAACAATCAAATATCCATACTATTTTATTAGATTTCTCTCAATAATGCGATCACTACAATCATTAAAAGAAGAATTACGTGTACTTGAACAATGTTTTCCTAAACGAACAAATGCACCATTCTCAATAGTAAGTTCAAGTGTCGATGATATAACAAGTATTTATCGTGATCCTATTAATCAACGATCAATATCGATTTGTGTAAATAATTAATTATTTAAAAAAAAAAAAATAATTTTTATTTTTCTTAGTGTAAAATTCTTGAAGTACCAAACAAATGTTTATGGTACACAGAAAGTGATAATAATGATGATGTACAAGAACAATTAACATCAATATTTGATGAATTAAATTCTAATTCATCAAATGAAACTCGTAGTGTTACATTACAACTTGAATTCATAATTGAACGTTTAAATACATTTTTTAATACGTCGAATTTATCATTACCAAGTCATTTATTAGCAAATTCAATAAATCATTTAGAACCTGAAGATTCAGGTGTTGATCAAGAAGAAGAAGATGATGATGATGAAACCGAACAACAACATAATACTCTACAAGAGCAATGTTCTCTTGATGAAGATGATAAAATTCAACAAACAGGACAATTAACTAAAGATATTGATGGAATATCATTAGAAAATTGGCAATTACTTGAACAATTAAAATATAAAAGAATCAATGAATCAGCACAAAAAAATCATGAAAAAATCTATGCTAATAAAAATAATAATCCAGTAGCAAAAAAAGATACAGCTTCATCATCATCATCATCATTATCATCGGCATCATTTTCATCATCATCAACATCATCTGTACAAGCAACTGATCGTTTAATGAAAGAATTAAGAGATATATTTCGTTCACAATCATATAAAAAGGGAGATTATACTATTGATCTTGTAGATGAAAGTCTTTATGAATGGAACGTTAAAGTAAAATTTTGCTCGACTTTTCTACAAATGAAATTTTAACAAAAAAAAAAAAACATTTTTTGTTCTGTTTTTTTTTAGTTATATCATGTGGATAAAGATAGCAAATTATATACAGATCTCGAACAAATGAAAGTATCAGACAAAAATTTTGATAAACTGGATCATATTTTATTAAATTTATCATTTAATGACAATTATCCATTTGCACCACCATTTGTAAGTAAAACACCATATGAAACTCTTTAATTATAGTAAAACAAAAAACTTCAAAAAAAGAAAAATCTCATTGTCCTTTTATTTAGGTACGTGTAATTAGACCTATAATTACTGGTGGTCATGTATATTCAGGAGCAATTTGTGAGTATATATATATATATATTTGTTTTTCTCTATTATATAATTTCAATTGAATTTGAAATATTTCAGGTATGGAGTTACTAACTCGGCAAGGTTGGTCATCGGCGTATAGTGTTGAATCATTACTCTTTCAAATAGTAGCAACATTGTGTAAAGCAGGTGCACGTATTGATTTAAGTTCGTTGAACGAATCATTTTCGCTTCAACGAGCACAACAAGCATTTCGTCATATATCGACTGTACATGAGAAAAGTGGATGGTATACAGCACCGAAAGCCGATGGATAAACAAGAACTTTGCTGTTTTTCTTCCTGAATATCACAAACATTTGTCTTCGCTTTTTTTTTTTCTGTGTAAATAAGTACTTGTAGTTGTCTGTATGGATTATTTTCTTTTGACGGTGTTCAATACTGTGCTCTTTGCGTGATCGTTTGTCTCTGTTTATTTGTCGGTTCATATTCATTAAAGAAAAATAAAAAAAATAAAAACTTTTCTTTTTTCATTAAATTAAATATTCATTTTTATTAGATGAAATAATATTTTTGTGATATATGTTGATAGTAAAATGTTTTCATTATTAAATCAAGTCATATTATTCTATTCATTATGTGCAATCGTTTGAAACGTCGTCCATTGTTAGTCTTAATAGTTTTTATACACATTGTTTTATTTTCAACGTATACATTTATACATTATGAAAATAATGTTTCAAATGATGTGATAAGAAGTGATCGATCAATTGAATTATTAACACCGGAACTTCTTCCAGCTCGTTTAATTGAAAAAGCTAATCGATCATTATTAAATAAGAATTATAGAAATCCAAAATTTCAAAACAATAATATTGATTCACGTACTAATGAAAAACTTGAATCGCTTAATGTTTCATTTGTTAAAGATATTGATCAAAAACAAATGATTGTTCAATGTCCAATTTTACCAATGAATTTAGGTAATTTTATATGAGGACAAAAAAAAACACTAATATTTTCATAACAGAATTGCGAAGATTGGATGACGGTTAAAAAAGTTATTTAGTTTGTTTCCATAAATGAAATTAGAAAAAGATATGTAAACATATGATATTCATTGACTCGAAGAAAAGACTTAAAGAAATGAAAACTTAATTGTAATATATTAATTTATACAATTTATTTTTCTTCAGTTGGTCGTATTGAAGCCGATTTGTTCTCATATGAAATGGAAGAAATCGAAAAACATTATGAAAATTCTAGTATAAAACTTGGTGGTCATTGGTCACCTTCTCATTGCACATCTCGTTATCGAGTAGCAATTATTATTCCATATCGTGATCGAGATATGCAATTACGTATATTTCTTAATTTTATGCATTCATTTCTACAAAAACAACAATTAGATTATCAAATTTTTCTTATCGAACCAGTAAGTATATGAAAATAAAAAACTAATAATAATAATTTTTCTGTCCTATTTCAAGATAATTAGTATAACCTTTAATCGAGCACTTTTATTTAATATTGGTTTTCATGAAGCAATGAAACATTATGCATGGGAATGTTTTATTTTTCATGATGTAGATTTAATACCAGAAGATGATAGAAATATTTATTCATGTCCACCTGAACCACGTCATATGTCAGTAGCTGTGAATACATTAAATTATCAGTTAGTAAATATTAAAATAACTAATAGATAATAATAAAAACCTTAATATGTTCTATTTAGACTTCCTTATCGAACAATTTTTGGTGGTGTTTCAGCTTTAACAGTTGAACAATTTAAATCTGTTAATGGATTTTCAAATCAATTTTTTGGATGGGGTGGTGAAGATGATGGTAAGACATATCAATTTAATATAAAAAAAAAACAAAATAATAAAACTTCTGAAAAAAAAACATTTTGATAGAAATGGCGGCAAGAATACTCCGAAAATATCGAATATCTCGTTATCCGGCATCAATTGCTCGTTATAAAATGTTACGACATCAACAAGATACTCCAAATAAATCCAGGTTTTTTCATAATATCTATTAATTTTTATTCAAAATTTAATTTTTTTTTTCTTTCATTAGATATAAAATTTTAAGTTTAAGTAATGCAATGCGTTCCGTCGATGGTCTTTCCAATCTGCAATATACACTGATTGAAACACGTAAAGAAAAATTATTTACACTTACTCGAGTAACATATAATGAAACATTAATTAAATCAACTGTTGCTCATATAAACAAAACTGTGAAAGCCAGGCGACATAGACCTTGATGATTATCAATTTTAAAGAACAAGAATTATAATCTGTTCTTGTTTTATTGTTATTTTTTTTTTCTAATATTACTTTTCTTTTTTGTTATTATTATTACTATTATTTTCATTTATCTCAAAGAAAAACAAAAATACTATGTCAGTTATAATTTTCGTTTTCATACTTTTTCTGGGAAATTTTGAGAAATAAATAAAAACAAACAAGATCATTTATTAGGAAATATGGATCAAAGTCAGTTTTTTCAGAAAAAAAAACAAAAGTATGGATGTCGAAGATAAATTAATAACTAATACTGGAATACTTCAATATGAAAATGAAATTATTTTACAGTTATATCATGAAGATGGATTGCTTCTATTAGCTAGGTAAGCATCATCAAAATAAATAGTCTTTTAATATTGATAATGTTTCATTATTTAATCTATTGGAATATCTAGAGGTCTTGGTTTGGAACGAATATTTTGTGAAATAATGAAACTATATTGTGCTGAACATAATCTTGTTTTTATATTGGGTTGTACTGATGTTGAACAAACATATTTTATTGAACAACTTATCAATGATGGTATCGATCCCACACCACGTATTATAACTGCAGATATATCAATTCATGATCGAAAAGAACTTTACATTCAAGGTGGACTTTTCTTTGTTACTGCACGGTTATTAATTTAAAGAAAAATATTATTAAAAAAAAATCCATCAAATTATTCTTTTTTTTTTTTTAAGAATTTTAACAGTTGATTTATTAACTGATCGTATTCCAATTGATTTAATAACTGGTTTATTAGTTTATCGTGCTCATCGAATAACCGATTCATCACCGGAATCATTTATAGTTCGTTTATATCGTCATAAAAATAAAACGGGTTTTATAAAAGGTTTTAGTGATTCAGCATTAGATTTTACTCGTGGTTATAATCAATTAGAATGTGTTATGAAAAATTTATTTCTTCGTAATGTTTATTTATATCCAAGATTTCACGTCACAATTCGTTCAACATTTGAACATTGTTCACCTGATGTTATTGAATTACAAGTATCATTAACGTTACTAATGACAGATATTCAAGTATCACTAATGGAATTAATAAATGCATGTTTACAAGAACTTCGTTCATCAACAGCATGGATTGATAATGATATATTAACTGTTGATCAAGCTATATTAAATTCTTTTGAACGTTTAATACATTTACAATTGCAACCAATATGGAATCAAGTTAGTATAAGAACAAAACAATTATTAAATGATATAAAAACTTTACGATTATTTGTTCTTTATTTAACACAATATGATTGTGTAACATTTTATAATGCTGTACAAGCTGTTTTTATTAATGAAAAATTATATGGTTCACGTGGAAAAAATATTCATTCATCACAAGGATCAACAGGTAGTTGGCTTTATTTACCAGCTGCTGAAAGATTATTAATGGTAAATAAATATTTTCTGAAAAACAAATTATTTTATTTATAGAGACAAAATATTTAATCAGTAAGTTAAATAAGAAGAGAATCAGTGAGTTGAGTGGATGATCAGTAAATAACTTACATAGTCAATTAGTAATGAATTTAACTTGTTAATAAGTTTAAGCCCCCCCCCCCCCCCCCCCCCCCCCCCCCACCCCCCCCCCCCACCCCACCCAACACACCAACAAAAAAACCAGGTGGGGCGGGGAGAGGCGCGACGGAGTGAAAGAGGTAAAC